ATACATGCACATTAAAACAATGAGCCTGGGCATGGTGGCTCACGCCTATAACCCCTGCACTTTGGGAGGCCAAGGCAGGAGGATTACTTGAGTTCAGTAGTTCAAGACCAGCCTGGGCAACACAGCAAGACGTCATCTCTGCTAAAAATTTTAAAAATCAGCCAGGCACGATGGCATAAGTCTGTAGTCCCAATTACTCAGGAGGCTAAGGCAGGAGGATTGCTTGAGCCTGGGTGATTGAAGCTGCAGTGAGCTATGGTCACAGCATTGCACTCCAGCCTGGACACCAGAGCAAGGTCCTGTCTCCAAAAAAAAAAAAAGATTTGACTTTATACTCAAATAGTCTGGTTAAAATTAAAAGACTGTATCATGTCAAATGCTGGTGGGGCTATGAGAACCCTCACAACCTAATGACAGGTGTATAGACTGGTATAGCTATTCTGGAGAGCAATTTTTGAAATATTTAGACAAATTAAGTACATTACCCCATCCGTAATCCTGTAATTCTACTTGAGTCCACTATCCATAGTAATTCTCACTTGGACCCATAAATGAACATATATAAGAATGCCCATCCTATGGTAGCAGAGGGGAACAGGAGGTAATCTCAGTGCCTATCATGGAGAGAGAACGGGGGTAGATAAAACTTGGTGATGAAAGTATATGAAATACCATGCAATCATTAGAAATAAGAAAATCAATTATCAATTAGGAATATATTTTAAACAGTGATGGGGGAAAGTAAAAAAACAGATCTTAGGCACAATAATTCTAAATTAAAAATACACACCAAAATATGCTCAGAAAACACACATTTAAAAACATACACAGAGCAGCCATGTCCTCCACCTTTCCCTTCTGAGCTGATGCTGCCTGGCTCATGTCAGCCTCTAGCCTGCCCTAAATTAGTTATGGAGTTCCAATGGAGAAATATTTGCGGTTGATGTGGAAATTACCAAACAATCTGTACTATCAAGATCATGTTGAAAGATTTGGGAATAAGTGACTGAAGGAGATGATGACCCAGTTCCTTTATGAAATGTTAATGATGCAGTATTTTAAAAGATCATTCAGTGGTACACCCACCATAAAGACGACCCTCCTCTTCCTGAGAATAATGAGAAGAAAAGTGAACAGATAAAAATCCTGTTTGGGACCAAGAATTCCTGAAAATTTACCAAGGAACTCTTTGAACTTACTCTGGCTGCAAGCTACTATCAAAAGTTTGTTACATGAAAGACTGCTGATAATATGATCAAGGATAAAACACCTGTGGACATTCCCAAGCCCTTCAATATCAAAATGACTTTACTGAATGGGCGTAAGCCCAGGTACACAGAACCAGTGGTATGAAGAAAAGTGAAATGTGCCTGACATTGTAAAGATTCTTCCAAATACTAGTTGCAGTGCTCTAGAGTTTCTAATTATTAATATTAAATAGTAGACAAATCCAACAGCAAATCGACTGTATTAGCAGAATACTGTCATTGCATGTGTAGTCTGAGTACAGATTCCAAACCTATTGCTGAGTTTCTTTCAGTGTGACTGAAGTTTTTTTTCTTTACTCTGAAAAAAACTGAACTGTGGGTTCTCTACAGAAACTGGCATTTTGGCATTTCCCTCCTTTTGTAAAGCAATTTCTGCCTAGTTTGTTATCCAGTTAACTTTATTGGCCTTTTAAAAGTTAACATTGCAAATAAAACAACTTGCAAAAAGTTTTCTTAAAAAAAAAAAAAAAAAGGAAGAAGATACATACATACAAAAGAATTGCTCCTTTGGGGAAGTGGAGGGCAAGAAATCCCTAAAACTTCCTCTCACAGTTTGTCTAGAAAAAAAATTCAAATAAAAAATGAGTAATAACAAATCAGCAAAAGCAACATAGGAGCTGCACAATACAGTGAGGACAGAGAGGGAGGAAGGGAAGGCTGAAACTAGCATATACAGCTATAAAAACTTAAATCTCAGAGACTAGAGGATCCTGCTCTCCCAAACAAAATAGGCTGGCCCTGACCCAATCACTTGACAGTAGAGCCCATCAGTGTGCCTCCACATAGGGCTGAGTTTCGAGTCGTCATTTTAATGATCCACCCCCAGATACAAGGCAGGCAAGGCTCAGCAGAAATTTTTTTTTAAGAGACAGTGTCTCACTCCATAGGCCTGGCTGGAGGGCAGTGGTACGATCAATGCTCACTGTAACCTCAAAATTCGAGGCTCCAGCAATCCTCTTACTTCGGCCTCGTGAGTAGCTGGGATTACAGGTGCAAGTCACCATGCCCAATTAATTTTAAAAAATTATTTGTACAGCCAGTGTCTCACTTTGCTTCCCAGGCTGGTCCTAAACTCCCGGCTTCAAAAAATTCTCCCACCTCAGCCTCCCAAAGCAGAGGGATTATAGGCATAAGCCACCACACCCAGCTCCTATTTGAAATTTTAAAGCCAAGTAATGTGAAATTTTTTTCACTTAATTTTGAAAATAATCAGATAATACCAGTTGTTTAGAAGGGCTTCATGACTATTACGTAAAAGCAAGATGTGATATAATGGAATCCCATTTCTGTAAAATAAAGAATGAAAAGAAAAGCATGTCTACATACAATTTTAAGAGCACGAAAAAGGTATAGAAGGTAAGCATAGTAAGCAAAAGAAAAGCAAGAAAGGTATTTATAATAAAAGGAATATACGTATTAATGTATTTTACCAGTGGTATACAATCATGTATGTGAGAATATACACAGAAATCTAAAAAATCAGAGTCAACAAACATCAATGGTGGCTAAATTTAGGGGCTAAAGTTTCAGATTTTATTTCTCCCTTTTTACATTGTTTTAAAACAGTAAGCATATTTAGGTATTGGCTTGGCATACATTCACTGGCCTGGTTTATATTTCCGTAATAAGAAAATTTTCATGAAAAAAAATAAAAAATTATGAAGAACTACAAAAGTACGTGCTATCTAGAAGAAGGTAAGCAGGCAATCAAAATTTTTATTAGTGATTTTCATTAATATTTCATTTCATCAGCCTAAACATTCATAGGTCTAATGCTAAAAAAAACTTAGCTTTTAGTTGGTGGTTATTTCAGTCTAGTTTCTTGAAAATTCCAACACAAAACAGTGTTATGCTTTAATATACTACAGACCTAAACTTTCACTCCTTTACAAAAATTGGCTTCTGTTTAAACCTCAAAAAAACCATGTTTCTGATTACACAATCTTCTATGCATATAGACATATTAAGAGGTATCTGTTACATTTATTCATTTGTCTTTCCGGAATACCGTAAGTACATACAGAGTTTATATGGTAGAAGCAAAATTAGCCCTCTGCTGGGGTTTCAGCAGGGAGGATTACAAGAACTTTTGAGAATCTGAATATTTCTATATTAAACCACTGATTTTAAATGTTTATAAAAGATAAACGTATCTTGAAAATAGTAAAGGCACCGCTTTTAAGCTTAACTTTTGTCAAGAGATTTACCTTGACCTTAAGAAAGATGTTCATGAAAATAGATTTGCTTTAACCTGATAAATTTATTCTCAAACTACCCTCACATTTTGGAAACTACCTCACCACGGGCATTTTCCACCGTGGGCCAGGTTTCATTGATGCTGCAGCTCCTTTGACTATAAAATGCTTTACCTCATCTACTAATTTTTGATAAGAGAAATGATAATACTACTACCTGATGCCACCAGGCCCTCTTCCTTATGCCAGTCAGCCTTAAAAGTAGTAGTAACTCAATTCAGAGACTCACAGTAAAGCCTTAGTAACTTGAATTCACTGAAAGTAGATGATGGTTGCCAGGATCAGGGGAGAGGAGGAAATGGGGAGTTATTGTTGAATGGGTACAGAGTTCCAGTTTGGGGACAAGAAAGTTCTGGGAGTTGATGGTGGATGATGGTTACAGAGTAATGTGGCTGTACCTAACAACCTAATGCTGTTGAAATGTACACATTAAAATGGTAAATTTTATGTTATGTATACATCATAGTTTAATTTTTTTAAAAAAGAGACAGTGTCTCACTCCATTGCTTAGGCAGGAGTGCAGTGGCATGATCTTAGTTCACTGTAGCCTTGAACTCCTGGGCTCAAGTGATGCTCAACATGCCAAGTATTAGGACTACAGGCACAGGCCACCATGACCAGCTAATTTTTAAATTTTTTATAGATATAGACTCTAACTATGTTGCCCAGGCTGATCTCAAATGAACATTTGATCTCCTGACGTCAAATGGTCTTCCTACTTCAGCCTCCCAAAGTGCTGGGATTACAGGCAAGAGTCGCTGAGCCTGGCCAAAATAATTTTAATGTAGTAACAAATGCATTCCATCCTGCTTTAGACTTCAACAATGTGAAAAACTACTGCCATGAATTCAATTTCCCAGCCTAGTTCTACCACTTCCACCTGTCTTCCAATCTACAACCACCCTGAGTTGGACAACCCAGGGACAAAAATGATGGTGGGAGGGGCAACCCAAGTGAAAACAAGTTCAGAGTGAGGTTGGAAGGAGAGTGCAGCAGGACGGATATGGGTTCCTTTACCTTGACACTTGTTTCTATTGTTCACTTGTGACCCTTCCCAAATCAGTTTTCTAATCCTAAAGAAACTCACAATATCCTGAGGGTATGGCAGATTTGGCTTAAACAGTTAGTATCCTGTCAGGTCACCAGCATTGTAACCTGCTTCAACCTTATAGTCCTACGTCCCACTCCCTTATGTCAGGAACCCTGATGATGTCCTAGCAGCCTGGAAGCTGAGTTGGGCAAAGGTTTTACAGTAACCCATTAAATCAAATAGTACAGTCTGTAACAGTCTATACTCTCGCCTCTCTCTCTTCCTCTAACTAGAAGTACCCCCATTCCACAATATCCAAATCAGAAGGAACTTTCACTAAGAAATTTATTTTAAATACCCTCTGTAATATGCCTACTAGTTTGTTCTTCATTCACTAGTTGAAACCCTTAAACTAAAAAGGGCTTTACCTTTTCCCCCCACACATACCTGAGGATGAAGCGGCAGCCCTGTTAAAATTGTCTCCATTTTCTCCAGAATACCTATCCTGTGAGAAGGAAGAAAGAAAAGACTAGTTTCCTACTTTGAATAAAAATTTGTCATTTATTTCACAAATACTAGAAAATTACAACAATTGAGCTTTGTGCAGAACAAAATAATGATAGACTGTAAGGTTTTCTGGATCACTGGATGTTCCTTTACTAATTATTCTAAGGCATCTTCACTTTAACATTGTATATATAACACTAATATATATCACTAGAACAGTAGTCAGAAAGCTACAGCCACAGGCCAAATCTGGTAGGCCACCTGATTTTGTAAACAGTTGTATTGGTGCACTACGACAGCAAAGTTGTGACAGACAGGTAAGGCCTTTAAAGTCTAAATTATTTACTAACTGGCCCTTTATAGAAAGGGTTTCCTGACACCTGACTTAAAATAAAAGTTCAGTCATTTAAATCACCCATACTCCTGAAAAGTACAATCAGGCTTGGTGTGGTAGCTCACACATGTAATCCCAGCACTGTGGGAGGCTGGGGCAGGAGGATCACTTGAGCCCAGGAATTCAAGACCAGCCTGGGCAACATGGCAAAACCCTGACTCTACTAAAAATACAAAAAGTTATCCAGGTGTGGTGGCATGAGCCTGTAGTCCCAGCTACTCAGGAGGCTGACTTGTGCATGGGAGGCAGGGGTTGAAGGGGGCGAAGATCAAACCATTTCACTCCCACCTGGGTAACAGAATGAGACCCTGTCTCAAAATATAAAAATAGAAAATATAATATTATAAAATCAGACAAAATAATACATGAATAAATCAATGCTGGTCAATATACATTATTGTTTGCAGAGTTCCATATACTACAATAGTAGAGTATTAGTGATTTAACACTTATCTTTGCTCTAGAAAAGTACTACAGAAAATTTTAAAACCTCTACTATGTTCATAATGAAACCAATTAATGGTACTCTCATATTTTAAAAAGGAATTCACTGGCTGGGCATGGTGGCTTATGCCTGTAATCCCAGCACTTTGGGAGGCCGAGGCGGGCAGATCACCTGAGGTTGCAAGTTCGAGACCAGCCTGACCAATATGGAGAAAGACCATCTATACTAAAAATACAAAATTAGCTGGGTGTGGTGGCGCATGCCTATAATCCCTGCTACTTGGGAGGCTGAGGCAGGAGAATAGCTTGCACCCAGGAGGCAAAGGTTGCGGTGAGCCAAGTTCCCGCCATTGCATTCCAGCCTGGGCAAGAGCTAAATTTCGTCTCAAAGAAAAAAAAAAAAAAAGGAATTCATTGTAAATTCACTTATGCACTGAAAACAATTTATCTATATATGCAACCTGCCACTGCATTACAATTACAATGAAAATGTGTATCCTCAGCTATAGCATTAGAATATTCACAGTTAATTTTAATCAAATTTGTCACAGCAGTAGCTGAAGACTGTCTTTGCTCTCAAATACGAATTATTCCACTCTCCCTACTTTAGGCTAAAGAAAATTATTTACTATTAGCACACATGCATTACATAAGCAATGGTAGAATGACTGTTGGATTTAGAAAATTCATCTTGTTATAAAATCAAAAGCTGAATGCCAAGTTAATATTTGGAACCTTCCAACATTTTCTACGGACAGCTCTAGATTAACGACAATTTGAGTAATTTTTTTCTTACTTCTAACTCTAAGGGTGTCCTTATTATCATTAATCTACACCTTTATTTCTCACATAAGCTTTCTTTAATTACAGCTAAAGTTCAGAATAGAGAAATCTTGCACATGACAATCAGAATTTAATAATTTAAGAATGAAAGGAAATCCACAGATGATATCTTAATCAACTGACTACATTAGAATAGTCACAGTGTTCCTTCAAAGAAGTTCATTTAACTAAGTCCCAACCCTATAGAGAGTGCACCAAAGAAGGCATCTTTAGGTAACATCTATTTGCTAAAACTTCTTTCACAAAGCCACTGACTTTTAAAACTACTTTTATAAAGCTTAGGAGTCATCCAAACATTTTTCTGAGTTATCATTAAGAGCACAAAAACAACAGCATACTTGAAATGCCTTGGGGTTTCGGTAATGCTACAGCTTAAAAAAAAAAAAAGTTTCAGTTTATTACTATCACAGACATTAAAACAAACAAGAACAATTATCCAATCTTTTCTATTTAAAATCTGAAGACATTTTTCTTGTTTATAATGCTCAAAGTAGTATAGAGTAAATAGAGCCAAAAAAGAAAAAAAAGGATGGTTTTACAAGTGTTATAAAACACTGCTGCACTGAAGAACCGAAAAACTTATTAGATCATCTTCAAGCTATGGAACTTAATATCCCACATATATCCAACTTACAAATTCCAAGCGTGAATTCTGAACAAGACATCAAAAATAATTTGCAACAGAATTTTATCATAAAAAAGCTCAAACGGCCAGGTGTGGTAGCTCATGCCTGTAATTCCAACACTTTGGGAGGCTGAGACAGGCAGATCACCTGAGATCTGAAGTTCAAGACCAGCCTGTCCAATATGGTGTAACCCCATTTCTACTAAAAATACAAAAATTAGCTAGGCCTGGTAGCAGGCACTTGTAATCCCAGCTACTTGGGAGGCTGAGGCAAGGAATCGCTTGAACCTGGGAGGTGGAGGTGGCAGTGAGCTGAGAACTCGCCACTGCACTCCAGTCTGGGTGACAGAGCAAGACACTGTCGCAAAAAAATAAAAGGGTCAGAGCAAATGAAATTCAGTTAAAGATTTTGAGATGGGATTACCCTGGATTATCTGCATGAGTCCTAATTGCCATCACAAATGTCCTTATAATAGAGAGAGAGGGAGATAACACAAAGACCGACAAAGGAGGTGGCAATGTGGGAGCCAAGAGATATGTAGCCACAAGCTGAGGAATGCCTACAGCCACTAGAAGCTAGATGGAGCAAAGATTCTGTCCTAGAACCTCCAGAGGAAGGGCAGCCCAGCTGACATCTTGATTTTTTACTTCCGGCTTCCAGAACTATGAGAATAAGTAATGTTGCTTTAAGTTACCCAGTTTGTGGTAATCTGTTATAGCAGCCACAGAAAATTAATACATTAGCCTTCTTCCTGTTGCCCTAATACCCCTCCTCCTTCTCAAAGGTTCCTTGAGAACCTCTGCACATGATGTCCTGTTGGGACTCTCTTAAGTTTCAGGCTCATGAGTCACTGTCTCAGAGAAGCCTTCCCTCTCCAACTAAATGCATCCCACATCAGTTTCACACACACATTTCCCTAATTTTTTATAGTACTTTTCACTATAATTATTTGGTTCTCAAATGCATTTATTCTGTCTTCTCCAGTAAAATACAACATCTGTAACAGCAAGCACCTTATGTTCACCACTATCTCCAGCACCTACTAGGACTCAAAGATATGTTGAATGAATCACAGGTCTTGTCATTAGCTTACCATTTAACATACTTAGCTGTAAACCATTTATAATCTCTCAAACCACCCAAATGAACCAATTCAGAAATTTCAAATATTTAACACTTAAGGGTTCTCATATGCAGCTACAAATAATCCTTTTGCATTCTGATGAACACTTTTTTTTCACCTGTATTCTTATTATTTTCAATGTTGGAATATCACATATACATTTATTTTCTTATCTCAACGATTACTACTAACATTGCTACTGCTGCTTAATAAAACTGTAATTGTGGATGGTCTAATTATTCAGTTACTGTTTCCACTTTAACCACAAGAGATTTTGGCTTTTGAAATGTGCCACAAAAACTGGAAGTAGATCAGACAGAAGTGATCAGACAGAAGTGACCAGGCTTACTTTCATGGTCAGTTAACAAGAAGCCTTACAGCTAGTAAGTAAGCAATGGAGTTATCTAATACACTCACCATACCCATCCGTTCTAATACTCATCCCAATAAGCCTCCAAGAAATGTGCAAATGCCTAATTATCAAGATTTCTGGACTATATAATTGCTAGATTATCAACTCTTTCTTAACTTCACATCTTTCACTGTTCCATCCCCAGGTGGTATACTCACTTCAAAATCTAGAATTGAGAAGTTCTACCCAAAATTCTACCAGTTCTACTAGAACAATGGCCTATTATTTCAAAATTATATAAGCATAGGTCAACATTTAGTCTCCAAATAAAGCTCCTGAGATGCACTCAGAAAAGGATGATCACAGAGAGAGCTGCTATAAATTCAAAAGCCCAGCTTTCTCTTGAAAAGCAAACTCAGAACAAATCAAAATGGTGTCTTTAAAAGAAATGGAATAAAAGACTTCAGATTTCTTCTATATAAAATTGTAATGTATTCATCTCTAGTTTCTGTACTTTATTTTCTGAGACAGAGTCTTGCTCCGTTGCCTAGGCTGGGGTGCAGTTGCTGGGTCTCAGCTCACTGCAATCTCCACCTCCAGATTTCAAGCAAGTCTCCTGCCTCAGCCACCCGGGCAGCTGAGGCTACTGGTGTGTGCCACTGTGCCCAGCTAATTTTTTGTATTTTTAGTAGAGAAGGGGTTTTGCTATGTTGACCAGGCTGGTCTGGAACTCCTGGCCTCAAATGATCTGGCTGCCTTGGCCTCCCAAAATGCTGGGATGTCAAGTGTGAGCCACTGCACTGGCCATCTCTGCACTTTTTATTCAGCCTAGGAAGGCAAAGATCCTGATTGCACCATGTTCCTTCACGTCAACTAAGCCAAAGAATAATGGCACAATCAGCACAGCACCAGGTGTTAAGTCTGCAGACAAATGCAAAAGGCATACTACAAATTCACCAAACATAAATAAATGTACTAAGCATCATAAGGTAGACTTGTCAACATACTCAATTTAGTATTCCCAGTTTCAAGAAGCTACGTTATTGAACAGCATAAAAATTCCAAAAAGGTAAATCTGAAAGATCTGACAGTCATCCTCAGAAACCCAATGCAATAAATTTTCACAACACCCTACAGCACAGTATGCTGTTTAAACACTTCATGAAGACAAAAATCTCAGACTAAAAAAATAAATTGGACAGATGGCTATTAAGACCAGAGGGAATAAAGTATGTATCTGTGAATTAAACTTTGTATTATAACAAATCTATTGAGAACAAGGGGGAAAAAGAACTATAAAAAATGCCCTGGGAACAAGTAATTCCATTTCTGAAAAAATATTCCCAAATTAAAACAAGACATAAACATTAATGACAATAACAGAGTAAGTTACTAACACCACTAAAATTCCTACAAAAGTTGTAACATGGAATAGATAGTGATGAAGCGTGGAAAAAAGATGGATTCAAAAGTTACTGTTATATGGCCGGGCATGGTGGCCCATGCCTATAATCCCAGCACTTGGGAGGCCAAAGTGGGAGGATCATCTGAGGTCAGGAGTTCAAGACCAGCCTGGCCAACAGAGTGAAACCCTGTCTCCACTAAAAAAAAAAAAAAAAAAAAAAAAAAAATTACTTGGGTGTGGTGGCCTATAGTCCCAGCTACTTGGGAGGCTGAGGCAGGAGAATTGCATGAACCTGGGAGACAGAGGTCACGGTGAGCCGAGACTACACCACTGCACTCCAGCCTGGGCAAGAGTGAGACTCCATCTCAAAAAAAAATTACTGTTATATACTATCATTAAAACTACATAAAATATGTTTGGGCCAGGCACAGTGGCTCACATCTGTAATCCCTATACTTTGGAAGGCCGAGGTGACTGGATCACCTAAGGGCAGGAGTTCAAGGCCAGCCTGGCCAAAATTAGCTGTGCGTGCTGGCACGCCCCCTAGTCCCAGCTACTCAGGAGGCTGAGGCAAGAGAATCGCTTGATCCCAGAAGGCAGAGGCTGCAGTGAGCCCAGATGGTAAGACTGCACTCCAGCCTAGGTGACAGAGCAAGACTCTGTCTCAAAAAACAACAACAGAAATGTCTGGAAAAAAACAAGAAAATTTACTAAATAAATTTAACAGGAGAGCTTGTCTATTGGGCAAGATTTGTAGGTGACTTTCTCCTCTTTTACCAAAAAAGCTATAATATTTTTTATGATAAGAGAACTATAAAAAGATAACAGGGGCCGGGCGCGGTGGCTCAAGCCTGTAATCCCAGCACTTTGGGAGGCCGAGGCGGGTGGATCACAAGGTCAAGAGATCGAGACCATCCTGGTCAACATGGTGAAACCCCGTCTCTACTAAAAATACAAAAAATTAGCTGGGCATGGTGGTGCGTGCCTGTAATCCCAGCTACTCAGGAGGCTGAGGCAGAAGAATTGCCTGAACCCAGGAGGATCTCGGTGAGCCGAGATCACGCCATTGCACTCCAGCCTGGGTAACAAGAGTGAAACTCCGCCTCAAAAAAAAAAGATAACAGGCCAGGTGCAATGGCTCGCAACCGTAATCTCAACACTTTGAGAATGTCTCCTGAACTCAGGAGTTTGAGGCCAGGCTGGGCAACAGAGTGAGACTTCATCTCTACAAAAACTAAAAAAAAATTTTTTTAAAGGTAACATGTTATTTCTTTAAAAAATGTTCCAAGAGAAGAAACATAATAAATTTAGATTTGTATTTGGGGTATTTCAATGTAAACTTCACATATTGATCAAATTCAACTAGGATCAAATATTGCATATTTTATATTTTTGTCTAAAATAAGAACTTCCACTAAGGCAAAACTTGAAATCAGAAAGCGTCGGAACTGACATACACTCAAATTGGAAATTCTGAAGGGGGAAAAAATCAACTTGTAGAGACACTATCAAGTAAATAACACGCAAAAATAATCTCTTAAAATATATTATCTTTTAAAGTACCTTCTATTAATCTTTTTAAAGCCAATTTCCAAGTCAGAATTGAAATCCAAAACACTTACCCCACTAACCATCTTCCTAAATGACAATGTAATTCCCCAAATGCCATTAAGAAAAAAGATCTGAGGATTCATACAAACTGACATTACCAACTCAATCAGCCTAGTATAATTTATCTTGAGAACCCTCCTTGCACAAAATCAATTTTCAGAATTCAAAATATACCCAAAACGTAATAGTTGTTTTTGATTTTCCATACAAGTTTGCTTTCACCTGTAGAAGTCCTAAATCACTGAGATTTAAATTAGGTCATTAATATTTTACATCTATTTTAGCTTTTAATTATCAAATTGCCTCAAGCTATTGTATTCTATTTGAGGCTTAGCTTGCCTCTTACTCCTCATAAAAGTTAATAACAATCACATGGAGATAAACACTGACACAGGCTGTATAATTTAGAACTCTCACCACAGTGATTTTCAATTTTGATAAAATCCGTAGCATTTAATAACTAAACTTTAAGCGCTATTACCTTCTCAAATATGGGAACATAGGAAGACATATGAGGGTTGATCTCTGCTTCCCAATCTTCATCTCCCATGGTGGCTTCAAGTTCTAGTCAGAAAAAAAAAAAAAATGCACATTTGGACTCAATGTCATCAGAATCATTGCTTTAAAAGTAAACTACCCATAAGTTTTTTCCAAAGAAAGAATTAGGTCTCTTCCTATCTAAAGGTGGCATTTATCTCCATCCTTTTTATCTTTAAAAACTAGTTGAACCTCTTACCTAATCATTGTAGAAATCGCCACGTCCCCAGTGAGGTTTAGGCTTTTCCCCAAAATCTGTTTATAGAATTTATCTCCTCCCTCAAAGGGTCCCCAGACGACTTGCTGAATATCAAATTGGAAGAAAATTTTTTCAGAAACTACTTAAGATTTCTCCCTCGGCATGATTAACGTCTAAGATGGATAGGATGCTTGCTTTGGGGTGTTTCTGACGTGCGCCGGGGCGGGGGCAGCGATGGGTGAAGAGGGAGTCCCTGGATTTTAGCGGGGAAGGGAAGAAGGGTTGGGTTGCCCAAATCCCTCCAACAAAGGATGACCAGCGTTATGAAGAAGCGTTTGTACACAAATGGTACTATGACCATCTCTGTTCACAGAAAAGACGGTGTAGAGGCCGGGCCTTCGCCTCCTCTGCAGGCCTCAAGCCCAGATTTTGGGCACCAATGGGACTTTGCGACTCCGAGGCAGAAAGGCTCCAAAGGACGACTTCAAAACGCTGCCTACCCCATCCACTTTTCGGCCAAAGGCAGATTACCCGGGAGTCCGGGCCGAGTTCAGGCCAGTTTCCATACAAAATCGGCCCACTCACCTCTCCGCTGCTTGCTCTCCCCAGTCCTAGGAGGCGCCCACGCGGCTTAAACGGCTGCACGTGCAAGACGCCCTCTGCGTCAGGTACGTGACTCCAACAACAAATGGCCTGGTCAGGCCATTTGTTGACGATTGGCTGGTGACTGGCGCCAGCAGCCAATCAGCACTTAGATGGCCAGTGGCATCCCGCCTCCACCTCTAGACTACGCATTCCCTAAGCGCTCGCGTTCGGGCTTCCATGGCAACGCTTTGGCCTTCTCATCAAGTGGTCCGTTGGACCTGCGGGTAAAAGGCTGGCTGAGGGCCCACTCGCGGTCACATTCTCTGGTGGGATCCTTATTCTAAAGACTTTCTGGATTTTCCCTGTGCAAGCTCTGCAAGCCAAAGATGTCCAACTGCCTTTAACAAAAAATAATAATAAAAGGGAAAAGGGATAATGCCCTCCCTACTCTGCCTCCTTAGCGCTCACTCCCCTTTTACTCAACGCAGTCCCTGGTGGTTGGCCCTTCCGGTTCTGCATTTCGGAGGCTCGCTTCACATCCGGGGATTGCAGGCGCCTCAACGTGCAGCTGAGGCCCATGGAGGAGGTGCATTCCATTTTCCTCCCAGTAAGAGGGGCAGGTATAAGACTCTGTCCAGCTGGTACCCCGGAAAGTTGTAAAGAAAGTTAGCCTCGGCTGGGTGTGGTGCCTCACGCCTGTAATCCTAGCACTTTGGGAGGCCGAAGCGGACGATCACATGAGATTAGGGGTTCGAGACCAGACTGGCCGACATGGCAAAACACCGTCTCTACTAAAACTACAAAAATTAGCCAGGTGCGGTGGCAGTGCCTGTAATTCCAGCTACTCAGGAGGCTGAGGCAGGAGAATCGCTTGAACCGACAGGCAAGAGGTTGCAGTGAACCGAGATCGTGCCATTACACAATCTCTGCCTGGGCGACAGAGCACAGAGCCAGACTCCATGAAAAAAGAAAAAGAAAGCAAGCTTGTAAGAAGAGTTGGGTGCCGGGGGCGGGGTGGGGGGGCGTCCGTCACTTTGGGAAGGAAACAGGCTCTGATCCAGAAGGAAGGAGGAAATTGGTGCTGGCATAGGTCATTCATCAAGGCTTGGATTTGTGGTCCACCTGTTTACATTTCTACCGGCACTAGCCAAATTGGCCAAGGGTTATTTTGATACTTCATGCTAACTTCCAACAGATTTTCTTGTTCTGCCCCCACCCCCAAAGCAGGTAAAGTCCCTCAGTATTTTCCCCAGCCCTTCAAAAAGCATGACCAGGGGCTGGTTAATAAGTGTAGTTCTTATTTTTGTTCCTATTGTTATATTGCTGTCATTTTTCCTTCTCTGAATCTTTGAAGGAATTCCTATCTCATTCAGGAACGTAAATAGCAACACAATTGGATACTGGGACATAAAGGATGAAGCACTTAATAGGCTCAGGCTTGCTTCACACTTTATATCTCTAGAACCATCATCACAAGAATGTCAGGATTTATCTAGTTAGCAGTAAACTTTGTTAGACTATTCTGAAGGCGATCAAAATGAATTTATTTATTTTGAGACAAGGTCCCATTCTGTCACCCAGAGGGGAGAGCACTGGCATGATTATAGCTTACTGCAGCCTCAACCTCCTGTGCTCAAGTGATCCTCCCATGTCAGCCTCCTGAATAGCTGGGACTACAGGCAGGAGCCACCATGCCCAGTTAATTTTTAAAAAGTAATTTTTTTTTTTTTCAGAGACTCTCCCTGTGTTGCCTAGGCTGGTCTCCAATTTGTGGCCTCAAGTGATCCTCCTGCCTCAGCCTCTGAAAGTGCTGGGATTACTGCCATGAGCCACCACACCCAACCTTAAAAGACTATACTTAACAAAGGCTAAACCAAAACAAATTTCTATATAATTCATTTTAAATAATTGCCATTTTTAAACCAAATTTTCACATCATACCTTCATGGCATGGTAGAGTGAAGCAATCAATCTTCAAGATTCTGAATTTGTATTCAGGTCCTCTGAGATATTTTAATTTAATTCAAATTAGAGATTGTTCTTGCAAAATTTTTAATTCTATGGGAAAACATTTTCTAAGCAGAAAAAGCAAGATATAAAATCATGTAGAGAGAATGATAACTAGGTTTTTTTTCAAGTATGGAAAACTTGGGCAAATTTTTTAAAAACACTTAGCAAACATTCTCTGCTATTCACTCACTTGGAGAATACAGATTCTTGTTTCTTTCAGGTATTGCAATAAAATGACTCTTAATGAAATAGTCTGTATGTATAATGTATGAGAGGAATCTTTGGTAAAGAAAAAGTGAATTCTGATGAGAACTGAAGTTCAATATTGAGGAAAGGATAATCAAGCAGTGGATGAAAATAATATAATTCAAAAATTGAACATGAATAACAAAAAAAAAAGTTTTGTAAAGATTTGCTCCATAACATGTGTTCCAAGAAAGTGAAGCTAATATTCTATTTTCTGATTCCCTCTTACAGATCTTAACAGTGTTAGTGATGTTCTGTAACATAGAGAAAAGGTAGGAATTCACTTAATTATAAAATAAGCCTCACATGAGCACCTACTATATACCAGATACCAGGCTAGGCGCTAAGTAAACTTAGCCCATATTTCAAGGAACATTCTAGTGGAAAGAATGGCAGTGGCAACTGGAATTTAAAATCTTAAGACTCCTGTGTCAAAAGATTCACTAAAAAGCTTAGGTTAAAAAAGACCTTTATTGTCTACAGTTCCTCCAAATTCTCTAAATCCCATATTTAGAGGGATTGATTAAAGCAAGACAATTTTCTCTAAGAAGTCTCAGTTTTAAATCAAAGTTTGTAGTTAAGACCCTTCACACTTTAGAGACACTAAATTCTAAAAGTTAATACAAATAAAGAGAACTGATATTTTAGTCTTTTTATCTTTTCAGCATTATCTTCATCTTATTTGAATAATTATTTTTTTATTGATGTAGACTGGGCCTGGCACCATGTCAACACTATTGAAAATTCTTTCAATCTACCAGTAGGCCAAAATTAATCACCTCAAATGGTAGAGTATATGTTCATTCTTAGGTACTATATTTGAGAATATTTAGAAAATATTCAAGAATATTAGGTACACAAATATTTGAGAGTCTCCTACTCTGCACAAAATCATAAATACTAAAGATAAAATATGAAATACTATAAGTTGGAGGCCGGCATGGTGGCTCACACCAGTAATCCCAGCACTTTGGGAGGCTAAGGTGGGTGGATCACTTGAAGTCAGGAGATTGAGACCAGCCTGGCCAACATGGTGAAACGCTGCCTCTACTAAAAATACAAAAATTAGCTGGGCATGCTGGCGGGCACCTGTAATCCCAGCTACTCAGGAGGCTGAGGCATGAGAATCATTTGAACCCGGGAGGCATGGGTTCCAGTGAGCTGAGATCATGCCACTGTCCTCCAGCCTGGGTGACAGGGCAAGACCCCATCTCAAAACAAATAAAATAGAATAAAATACTGTAGGTTGGAGCCGTATAAAAATCAACACAAAATGGAGGGGTTGGGTACAATGATGGTACAAGATACCATGATGCTAGTACACACCTGAGGAAGAAATTCAATAGAGAGAGGTGTTCAGCATACCAAGCAGGATTCAGAGAAACTTCTGTATTTTATTTTTCCAGTAATGGCTAGGGCAATATTTACTAAGATATGGTATACACACTACACTACTGAGTTTAAGCAGTTCTTGATACCTTTGAGATAAGGGAAAAAGAGAAATTGAATTTAATTTTTTAAAAAGGCTGTTCATGGACATTTTCATTTTGATAGTTAATGTTTATATTTATTTTAATATGTGTTAGAAAACTAGCACACCAAACACGATTTCAGAAATATAACTGCTTAGAATGAAGCTAAAGTAAATGTTTTGTTTTGTTTTAAAAATTTATTTAATTTAAAAAACTAAGCATATGTGTATTGTTATGCAGGAATGGCAAAATCATGAAGGTGGTATTCAAATAACTGAAGTTTGGGAAACACTGGTGCAAGCGTAAAAGACTCTGAGTCTGGGGGCTGGCCACTAGAGAAGTATTCTCTCTATTATGAGTAAAGATATTTCATCAACACCTGTTCTGATTCCATGCTTACTTAGCAACTTCTTGATTAATCATTCAACTTCCCAAGTACTTGGATACTGGGAAAGGAGGTGCCATAAATAAGACATAAAAGCTTTACTTGCTCCTTACCATGAATTAATAC